TTTTGCAATGAAATAATGAACATCCACAATTTTTAAGATAAATTTTGTTAGTGTGGTTGAGCTGTGTGGGGGAGGGGTGCTCAGCTCCAAATTGAGTTCCAAGGGGGAGTTTTGTGTAAATAGGCAGTGCTTTGTACCTGCAAGTGCTTAGGAAGCTCTGAAGAATTTCTCAAACACACATGAATGACTCAAAGCAACACTCTGGGGATGTTTTTGACGAGGGAATGGCATTATAATATGATATAAAACTCAATAAAGTCGATTTTTCACAATATCCCCGTAAATTTTTTTTAAAAAGTGTTTTATTTAGATTTGGCACATCACCATGAAACATCATTTGACAAGAACACTGCGTGATGGAGCTATAAAGCAGAGAATAATTTTCCTGTTCAGCTTTAATTTAGTCTGACTGGCAAACAGTTAAGTATTCACAGATCTTAGCAGTTATCTGAGGCACATCCGTTTAGTAGAATTAGCATGAGCTGACTGGCATCAGCTGCTTCAGTCATGCGGCAGCTCATTCAGGTGTGCAGAGCATCACTGAGCACCTCTCACAATCTCTGATAAACTCATGCTGAAGCAATCAGCTGCTGCAGCTGCTGCCAAACAAACCTTGTAATCGTGATGTTTACCAACAACAAGACAATTGTTTTTTACTTTGGTTAATAAAGTTTTTTATTTGAAACAAAAAAGTCTTTCCTTAAAAGTGATATTTTCAATTTTCTAACAAGTTTTTTTAAAGATTTAGTTCGGAAACTAAAAACTACAGACTGCGAGGGCACATGAGGACTGTTTTTCTTTTGCGCTCTCTCGTAATACCTTTTGAGTTCCTTTGCAAATGTTTTGTATCATAATTCCATACAGATAACTGTACTGAATGACTTTTATTTTGAAATATTCAGTTACTGAAGCAGGATGTGTCACCACAAGTTGGAGAAAACGACGATGACATTGCACGGCTGCATAGAGTTAAAATATCTGCAAATTACATATAACTCCATACGTGTTCATTCCAAAGTTGAGTTAAAGTAGTAGACTAATTCCAGTATAATGGTGAGCATGTGAATATGTTTATAAACTGCACATGTCAGTAATGAACAACTTTTGTGAGAGAATACAAAAAGTATTACGAAGTAACTCAAAAGAAATAAATCCCTTCATGTTCACTTAAGCGCTCCATTAAAAACAGCAGATAAAAATTTAAATTAAAAAAATTGTTTCATTTCATTTTTTACTTTGCTACATTGGAGTCAACTCTGTTAGTGCAAAATGTCTTGGACCACTTGTCATATTTTAATAAAAGTCATATAAAGTAACCATAACCACAGGATTTACATCACTGACAGTCAACCCAATTCAAGACAGGTAAATTACCTTAGCCAGTACAAAAATGGCTCTAACTTTGTCAAATTTACATATCTGATTTGGTAGTACATAGTCTTTCCTTAACATCAGGGACAGCTAGTAAAGTGAGTAGTAGGGCTAAGTCCTTCCTGGTGTGCACAATAACAAAAAACATTAAAGGGGCAATATCCTGTAAAATCAACTTTTTTGAGTTTTATATCATGTTATAATGTTATACTCTCATTAAAAACATGTCCAAAGCCTTGCTTTGACTCATTCATGCATGTTTGAGAAATTCTGCAGCATTTTTAGGAAGCCATGCTGAGGAGCAAAATGACAGGTGGGGACCAGAAACGCCCTTTGGGACCAGAAACACCTCTGGGACGTGTCTTTAAGCCGAACTTCCTCATCACGGAGCACACCTCACACACATCAATTCAAGTCAAGTCAACTTTATTTATATAGCACATTTAAAAACAACTGCCGTTGGCCAAACTGCTTCACATTTTGCAAACTAAAAACAAAGCATTTCTAAAAAAAAAAACACAAATGATAAAACCATAAAAACAGACCAAATAAAAAGGGAAACAACTCTCAAACTACATTAAAAGCTTTTGAAAACAGGTGTGTTTTAAGAAGAGATTTAAAAACTCCAAGATTTGAGGCCTGTCTGATGTGAAGAGGCAGCTGGTTCCACAGTTTAGGAGCCACAACTGAAAAGGCTCGGTCACATGTGGACCAGTCTGGACCGCGGGACAGCCAAGTACAAATGATCATGGGATCGAAGATATCTGGAGGGCACATATAGGACTGCAGGAGGTCAGACAGGTATTCAGGAGCCAGTCCATTCAGAGCCTAGGTCATCAGTAAAAGTTTAAAATCAATTCTAAAACACACAGGGAGCCAATGAAGGGAAGCCAGCACCGGGGAGATATGATCACACTTCTTTGTCCGAGTTAAAAGGTGCGCTGCAGCATTCTGAACCAGCTGCAGGCATGAGAGGCCAGCCTGGCTAACTCCAGCATACAGAGTTACAATAATCCAGCTGAGATGTAATTAAAGCATGGATCACACATTCAAGGTCTTTGAAAGATAAAAACGATTTGATTTTAGATAAAAGTCTCAATTTAAAAATGATCTTTTTACTACTGAATTATGGTATATAATTTAAATGTATGCCTGAGAAACACATAATATTGCCCTTTTAATAAACACAAATTATATGCATTCCACTTTGTAAAATTTACAGCAGTCTAGAGAAAATGCCAGTCTTTCCAAAGAGCTAAATTTTTACAGCCCCATTTATTTGACGTCGTTCCTGGTGCAGAATGATTGACAGAGAGTCTTGGCCCGCCCCCTTGGTTTGCTGCTCATTAGGGATAATTTTATTCAGCCCAGGGCCACAGGCTCTAGTCAGTGAGGTTGGACGTACAACAATGTGCCTCAAGCGCCAGAGTATGTGGGTGTGGTTTGGAGTAGACTAAGTAGGTAAGATAGTGAACGACATAAACAAGGTGGATTATTTCGTTTCTCACCTGTTTGCCTTCATGTCTTTGGAGGAAAAACTGCACATGAAAAGGTTGGGAGCTGATAAACCAAAGATGTTTAAATCCAGCAAAAGGAAAAGCATCAAAACTAAGGTTTTTCTGTGACCTGGTTTCAGCTAAAGGAGTGGGTAACAACCAGTAGGGCTCTCTTTTCTGCTGTTCGGAGGAAACACAGGAACTTTTAAAACATTTCTACACACACACACACACACACACACACACACACACACACACACACACACACACACACACACA